TCACTGTATAATTTAATTTCTACTTACATTTATTTGTTTATTGTGTTTTTGGTGGCAATTAATTGTATGCTTATTTATTTATTGAGCCTTTATTTATTTCTGTATTTATTACTAAATATGGCAGAGTTGGTCCTCCATAGAATGCTGCCACTCAGGGCTTCACCCCTCCATGTTCGTTAAGAACAATCGACAATGTAACGCTGCATAGCAGCACAAAAAACAGAGAGCGTATCCGAGGCTCACAATGTTTACATGAAGACTATCATCATGCTTAAACATTACAGAGTTATAAAGCTGTATTTATCCTTTGCTAAAATGAGCATAGATGAGGCAATGGGTCAGAAGGGAAGAGTTAGAGCCGCTGGAGGGGAGGTAGAGAGCCGTCGTTTGTCACACATCTTGTTTTGGTCTACAGGCTGTGCTTACTGCCACCTGGTGGTGAGATTTTGCTCGCTGCTCCTTTAAGTTTCACGTCTTATCAAAAATAAAAACATCAGTTGTAAAATTGTGTTAATTTTTTTCAACATTAGCAATGTTTTGGGCACATTTGTAATGGTAAAGCAGCTAGTCTCTCTGTAAAAGTGTGTGCTGTATTACTTACTTATAATGCGTGTCCCAGCTGGTTCTGTTGCTCAGCTCAGCAAGCAAACAAAAGGCTCTGTTAGCAGGAACATCCACCTCTGCTTCCACCCTGATGCTCAACATGGACTTTTGCTCCAGGGTGTACAGACGAACCTGTGAACAGAGATCGTAAATCAAACAGTTCCTGGTGTGAAACCGGACAGATGAGTTGATCTAAATTCAAAACGACAACAAAAATACTCCCAGACCTTATCTCTCTCTGTGCTGAGGCGCCAGTTCTTCCTAGCTGCCAGCATCTTCAGTGCGGATACATTGTTATAGCTGAGATACACCTGTTTTCAGAACATCCAGCACATCGATCACAGGATGATAAAGACATTTTTGATCAAATTTCAGCCAAGAATTTAACCACAGTGACGGTTAAGTAAAGTAAAATGGATTAAAAAAGTTCAGGTTTTGTGCAGTGACACTAAACAAGGGGATCGCTGGACCTCCATGAAACCTGAGCCTCTGTTCTCCTTTGCAAAGACCCTTGATTCAGATTAGATTAGCCTCAAACATGATGTCCACCAAGCAAAGCAAGTCCTTGATAGCAAAACTAAAAGTGAATCAAACCCACAGCTAGAATGAACACCTCCTTGCCCAGTATGTTGGATTTAATGCAAGATTTAGTGGGCAGCGCCCCCTCTTGGCAGCTTTATTGTGGTTCCACCTGCTTTTCAATTAAATTTAATTAATTTTAATGATGCTCCAGGAAAACAACGATTCGGATATTTTTATAAAACAACCTGACATGTACTTCTCAACAACTTTGTCCCTGATTTGTTTGGTCTTCTGCTATAATATGTCAACTCCCCCGCCCCGATCAGTTGCTGCAGATGCCCCTCCCACACCGTCTTCCTGTTAAAGGGGAGTCCTGCTCCACATTATCAATATACACTCACCGGCCACTTTATTAGGTACACCTGT